CGGTTTTTGCTCGGCCAGTCGAGATAGCCTTGTCGGACCTCACCGCGGCTACCGATGGGTTTGCAGAGGGCAAGCTGATTGGCAGCGGCGGTTTCAGCCGCGTCTACGAGGCGTCGGCCGACCTCCACCTCTCCCTCGCCGCGCCTCCGCAGCTGCGCCACTTGCCGCTCGTCGTCAAGCGGGCCAAGTCGGGCCAGTCGGGCGGGTTGTCGCGGGCGGAGCTCGAGGTGAAGCTGCTCAAGGCGGTGAGCCACCCGCACCTGCTGCCGCTGCTCGGCTACTGCCTCTCGCCCGACGGCGTCTGCCTCCTCTCGCCGCTGATGCGCGGCGGCTCGCTCGAGGCGCGGCTGCGCATCTCGGATCCCGACCGCGCTGCGCAGCTCCGGCGGCTGGGGATGGTAGAGCCGCCGAGGCCGCTGACGTGGCGGCAGCGCGTGCGTGTCGCGTGCGAGGCGACCGAGGCGCTCGTCTACCTCCACTCGAAGGGCATCGTGCACCGCGACGTCAAGCCGGACAACATCCTGCTCGACGAGAATCTGACCGCCGTCCTCGCCGACACGGGCTTCGCCAAGGACCAGCGTCCGGACGCCTCTGTCCGCTGCCGCTCGACCGCCCTCTACATGTCCACTGGCTACCTCTGCCCCTCCATCTCCAAGGGGGGCGAGTACTCGAGCAAGACGGACGGCTACGCCGCGGGGCGTGCTGAGCGGCGCACTCGAGAGGGACGCGTCCACGACATGTCCATCGCACGCTCCTCTCCAGGCGACGCGCGGCGTGCTCAGCGCGCACGCTGTCGCCGCGTCGGCATGCGCCGAGCTGGACGCGCACACGGAGCAGCTGCTGGCTGCTCTCGTGCGCGCGACGGCAACACTTTCTTCGAGGAGTGCGGCCTCGCGCCCAAGCTGGACGCGCTGCGCACCGCCGCCGCGCAGCCGCAGCTGCAGCTCTGCTCGATGGTCGGGCTTGAGTCGCTCGCGCTCTCGTCGGCGACCCGCTGCTTCGGCTCGCCACCCTCAATCGTCTCTTCACACACATCGTCCCATGAGCAGGCGATGCGCTCCTTCTACTCACTCCTCTTCACGCGCGGCGGCGGCGAGCTGCTGCCGCACGCTCACCGGCTCGCCACGCCGCGCCTCCGCGCCGCCGCGTCGCGCCGCGCCGCGCAGATGCTGGCGGCGACGCACAGGCGCATGCACCAGCTCATCTCGCGGCCGGAGAGCGGCTACGCCGACGGCGGCAGCGCCATACTGCTGCACACGCCCGAGGAGGTGGACAGTCTGCTCGACGTGCAGACGGGCAGCGGGTAGGCGGCGCGGCCGCCGACGAACAAACGGAACGGTGGGGTGCTGTTCTTGGGAGCACGGGAGTAGGCGGGAGGGCGCACTTTTCTCCGCTCGTCTTTCCCGCCAAAGCCGCCAAAAACGAAGAACGCCGTCTTGCGCGCCAAGAGCTGCAGAAGCCACCGCAGTCCGCACAGGGGACCCGCTTCCTTTTTTTCGGCTACCCCCACCTCCTCTCTGTGAGGTGTGTCCGTTTTCTGTAACTTTAGTTTTTATAACCGGAGGAGGGAGGAGGAGGGAGGAGGTGGGAGGAGCAGGGAGGGTTTCCCGTCCTGCCTGCCGTACCGGAGAACCCTGTGGGGTGTTGGCGCCCCCTTCCCTCGAGATCGACCCTCATATGGCCTCCCGCTGTCTCTCTATGGCGCTCCCGGCTCCCGCTGTCTCTTGCCCCCCCTTTGCCTTACCTTACCTTACCTGGACTTGAAACACTTGTCTCTGCGGACACATACGAATGTTCCATGCACGAGGCGCTCTATCTCCGCGACTCGTCCGCCACACGGTCAGGGACCGGGATGACCCCGAGCGCAGACGCCGCCGCCGCCGCCGCCGACGCTGCAGCGGCGGCCGCCTCGGCAAACGCGGCTCCAACCCACGTGGACGGCGTCCGGGGCGGCGGGGGCGGGGGCTGTGGAGGGCGTGGCATCGAGGGTGCTACACCGCCAATGCGCGTGAAAAGGAAGGCGAGGTCGCCTCTCGTCGTCTCGAGCCTCATCCGCCCGTCCGGCAGGAGAAGGGTGGTTAAACTGAAGTTCATCGGCGCCACAACGTGCATCACGAAGGTGGTGTTGGCCCACTCTGCCCAGTAGCTGAATCTGCCCAACGGGTTGGAGCCCACACTGGTGTGGAGCCGCCCGTCAATGTAGAGCTGCCTCGACGTGTGAAGCAAGCTGGCCGCATTCGCCTCAACATCAGCGTGATCGCGTGCCAGATTTGTGACAGCAACCTCCGCGAGTCCCACCAAGTAGTTGAACGCGGCCGCGGTGGTTTGGAGCGACCAAGTGGCGACACCGCCCAAGCCCAAGCTCGAGCCCAGGTGGTGAAGCATTGCGTCCATATCGCCCTCGGTGGAAGTCAGCGACCACCTTCCCGAAAAGTCGGTGTACAATTGCGACGGTGAAAGGGCCCGAACATACTGTGGAGGCGGAAACGTTGTCGTCGGGTCAACATGTGAGAACGGCGCGGCGGAGCTTCGGTTGGCAGCTGCGGCAATGCAAAGCGCAGCGACGGAAAGGAGGGCAACGAGGGCGACGGCAGTGATGCATCGCAAGGCCCAGACGCACGAGCGCCGGCCCCATGCTTGCCGGCCTTCGTCAACCCCTGCTTCGGACGTTGCTTGCGGCCCAAATTTGCGACGCGCCGTGTAGATGAACGCGATGCTCCATGGACATGCGAGCATCAGCACGAACGCATGCTGCACTCGCTGCGGCACTCGAGCAAGGCCAACCGCCTCGGGAAATTCGACTGCAAAGATGAAGCACAGGAAAGGAACGAGGGCAAAGACCAACGATTCGAATGCACCGCGCACGGCGGCGATGCGAACGCGGAGAGGTCTGTTTGATTGCTCGAACGTGCAAGGCGTGCGCCTCGGTCGAGGCCCACGGCAGCAAAGTAAGGACAGGCTGCAAACATCAAGGGAGGCAACAAGACGGTTAGGAAGACTTGATTGAACGGTGAGGTCGCTCGCATTCCGGAGTACACCGTGCCAAATACAAAGCAAAAGACCGGGATCAGTAGCTGCAGCAACGTCGAGTACGGCAACGCGGCTCCGTGATCGAGTCGTTGCATCACCTGCTCCTTCAGGGTCGTCCTAACCAGTTGGTTGAACGCGCAGAGGCCATCGACGCCACGTCGCGCGTATATGGATCCAATCGCAGTGTAGATTTCGTCCCGATCGGCGGCACTATAGCAGTCTGCCCCCCTCACATCAAACGAGTCGAGGTGCTTTTGCAGCGCGAGCCGCTGAAGGGCCATGTCGGCACCGAACACTGTCGCGGTAAGGAAAAACATGACGAGAAAGACGAAGGAAAGAGAGAGCTGGACCGCGTGGTGGGGGGTCCACAACCAGCCATCAGCCAGAAAGACTCGCTCTCCGTGCTGCGATTCGACCCTTCCGAAGAACAGCATCTCGCACAGCACTGTGAACCCAAACGCCACGGCAGTTCCTGCTATTGCCACGCAGGTTCTGAGGGCGATTTGAAGAGGCAAGAAGAACACTGGCCTGTTTGGATGAATGGCTTGAAACATGGCTAATTCGTACACGCACCAGAGCCGATTGAAGTAGTTCTCATCCCAGAGGACCAGCAGCTTCGACGACATTGCCACGTAACCTGCCAAATGCCGGATGCCTTGAGTCTTCAGAGCTCGGTTCGTCTGGTGGATGCACGCCGCGTCAACAAAGTAAGTGCGGTGGGTAGAGTCCGCTGGTTGCAGAGATGTACTTCGCTACGTTTGCCGCCTGTGCCACGGCGGCTTCATCAGCTCTCTCGAGGGCTGCGGGCGACGTCTTTCGTTCGTTGTGCTGCATGAGGCCGGAGCCGCTGAGGCTGCAGCGCTACCGCCTCCGCAGGCTGAGTGTGAGGAGGTCGCTCCGGGGTAAGAACGCCCGGTGGGTCCTCGCAAAGAACGCCCCCCGGTGGTCCTCCAAAGAACGCGTGCTTCTGCGTCCTTGGGTGTGAAGGGCTTCTAGGCCCGCCGGTAATCTCCCTCCATCCCCAGGGCCTCCAGGGCTCGCACCTCAACCTCTCATCGACCAGCGCACAGCGTGATAGGATATTTTCTTCTCAATAACAAGGTCGGTGAACAGGCACCGCCTCCGTCGCGTCGCGTTCGAGCAAGCAATGCATACAAAAAAAGCGCGTTCGTGGGGCTCTGCCGCGACAGCCAGGCAGGCCTCTCAGCTCTCACGACGGCCGATGGGGGCGAGTGGCGGGCACCGTCGGCCGTGCGCGGCTCAAATGTTTTATTCTGGCTCTTAGAGAGGGAAATACCTCATGTATCTCGCGGTGGTCCACACCAGAATCTTGTAACTGAAGCGACGAAATCAATCGAAATCTATCGTTCCCCCCTCTCCTAGACACTACTAGGTCACGCATGGCATCAGAAGTCTCTCTCTCTCTCTCTCTCTCTCTCGCCTCGTGCCTGTCCACACCAGAATCTTGTAACTGATACCCGGGTAGCGACGAAATCTTCCAAATCTTATGTTCCCCCCTCTCCTGAGTGAGTGGTCCCCCCCGCGAGCTCCTGCACGAGCACACAGCGAGCGTCAGAAGACGGCACTGATGGCGGTCGCCTGTCACCCGGTCACCTCGCACCTGAGCGAGGCCGCCAAAGTCTCGCTCGGCACGCTTCGCCAGACCTCCCCGGTCAAGCTAAGGCGGATGCAGTCGTGGTCGCCCTCGCTCATGCAGGAGGCGTGTGGCGCGGGCTGCTCGCGGGAGGGGCGGCGAGCGTCGATGCTCGCGCTGCTGGGAGCGGAGCCCCTCGAGCTGCCGCCGAGCCGTGCCCAGCAGGCCCCGCGAGCTGCTTCCGCCCCAGACCGACAGAGCGAGAGCGCCGGAGCGGCCGCCGCAGACCCCTTGGGAAGTGAGCCTGTTGAGCTCGAGGAGTGCATCGGCGGCGGAGTGAGGGGGATGCTACACCTACTAGGGGCAATGCTGGGCGCGGGGCGTACGCCCGACCTGCGAGACTCCATTCTCCGCGCCGCGGCGATGCCGCCTGCCGGGGGGGCGCAACCCCGTGCTTGCTTTTGCATTATGTGAGGTGCTTCCCGCCCCGCTGGGTACTTTATGCATGGCATGGTATGAGCACGTAATGGGGGTGCCAGATGATGTGGTACGGGGAGGCGCTTGACGCCCTACGTTGCGTTCAGCATGCTAGGGGCGTGTGGGTTTTGGTGTGCGCGCGGCGCCCGCGGCGCGCCCTGCCCCCTGATTGAGAGTGTCTTGATGAGGAGTTTGAGTCGCTCTAGAAACGATTGCGGTGGGATGTACGTATCCTACATGTAATACATCACTGTCAATACACGCCAAGGCTAGTGGCTGTGCGCGTAGCCCGCCGGACTCCTTGGCCAGCCGCCGCGCGGGGCAGTGCCCGAGGGGTTGCGGCCGAGCAGCTCCGGCACGCGGAGGGGGCTCAGCAGTTTCTCGTGCCGCTGCACGTTCTCCGCCGTGAGGTTGGACCTCCGCCGCGAGATCCTGAGCGGCGAAGGGCGGGCCGGGGCTCGGTGCGGGCTACGAGTCTGTCTCGACTGTCCACGCGCAGAGGCGCTGGGCCGCGGGCAACGGCCCTCGCCTTGGCAGGCCGAGCGAGGCGACCTCCTCCGCCGCGACCTCCTCCGCCGCGCCGTGCTCCGCCGCGCCGTGCAGGCCCCGCAGCGCAGCGCTCGTCGCAGCGAGGACCTCGGCGCGCCGCTTGCGCTCCGCCTCGAGGGCGAGCGCGTCGTTGACCTGGAAGGGGCGGGGCGAAGACCGCGTGGGGTGGGGCGTCGGGGGCGGGTGAGGGGCCGTCGGGGGCGGGCGAGGGTTGCGGAAGGTGGTGGCGGTGGTCTGGGTGGGTGCGGGGTTGGGTGGGTGGGGTGGGGGAGGGTGAGAGCACTCTCTCTCGGGCGGCGCCTCGCGCAGCATGTGCGAGAAGAGGCGCGAGGGCGAGACTGTGCCGGCCAGCCGCGGCAGGAGTGATGTGGCCACTGACGCGAGGCGAGGAACCTCGGCCAAGCGGTCCGCCAGCCTGAGGCGCAATGGGTCACGGGTCTGGCGGGGGCGGTGCGCAGTGTATATCTTGCACGCCATAATTGTGGTGCCTAGGGGCACTAGGGGTAAGGGGTGGCAAGACAGAAGCCTAACATGCGGGCTGGCTATTCCCGCCGCCGACGCAAAGCAAATTCGGCGGCGGCAGCGGGAGGGCGGCGGGGAGGGCGGCGGGGAGGGCGGCGGGGAGAGTGCGCCTGTGCCCTCCGGCTGCCGGCTCCGTGACGCGCGAGAGGTTTGTGCGCAGCGAGCGGAGGGACATTGCAATCTCGACGGATGCGTCGCTGACGCCGAGCGACCGATCCGCCGCCGAGGAGGCTGCAGCAGCACCGATCCGCCCGGCGGCTGCAGCAGCCTCCTCCTCCTCCGGCGGCTGCAGCCTCGCCTGCAGAAAGGGCGCGAGAGGCTTCGGCGAAGAGGCCCCTCCTCCTCCTCCTCCTCTTGCGGCGGCTGATGTCCTCGTCAGTGGAGAATACTCTCGGGCCATCTTGGGCCATCTCGGGCCATCTCGGGCCATCTCGGGCCATCTCGGGCCATCTCGCCTCGAAGGTGTGAAGGAGGCCCAGCGCGTGGTCGCGCTCGCCCAACGCCTGGGAGGGCGGGGGAGGCGGGGGGGCTCCGCGAGGGACGTGCCGAAGGGACGTGCCGCGGTGTTGGCGGACAAGTTAGTGGGCCGTGTGCCACGCACTGAGGCCCTCCGACCCGTCCTCACCCCTCTCATCCGCCTCACCCTCATCCTCCCACCCCCTCCCACCCCCTCTCTCGCGCCTTCGCGCGCTCGTCTTCGGACGCCGCGAGCGCCTCGTCGGCGGCAATCGCCGCCGCCGCGCTCCGCCAGCACAGCAGCGCACGCTGCCTCGCCGCGCCGGAGCAAAGACGGCCGAGCGACGCGAGGGCGAGCGCTCGCTGCTGCTCTCGCCAGCCTTGCTCCCACCTCGCGTGCCCGCCCGCCGCCCTCACCGCCCTCGTCGGCAGCTTGGCGGCAGAGGCGGTCACGGCACGCAGCCACTCCTCCTCCTCCTCCTCCTCCCCGCTGCACTCCTCAGCCGGCCGGTTTGCGCCCTCGCCGCCGCCAGCCTCGCCGCCGCCAGCCTCGCCGCCGCCAGCCTCGCCGCCGCCAGCCTCGCCTCTCTCCCCTCCGATGCCCTCTGCGCGAAGACGGCCTCTGCGCCGGTGGAGTCGCGACCAGATCTCGACGAGGGCCGGGCCCAGCGTCGACACAGCGAGGAGGAGGAGCGCGAGCAGCAGGCCGGACGGCAGCGGCGGGAGCACCTCTGCTCTGCCGGCGAAGCGGGCGGCGGCGAGGTCAACAGGCCGGACGCCCACATCGTCGGCGAGGCGGACAGGCACGGCCGTGCGCTTGACGTCGTGAGACTCGAGGTTGGCTGCCGCCGCCGCGGCGTTGGCGTGGATCTCCGACACCACTGCCGCCGCACTCACTCCCGAGGAGGAGGCAGCTTCTGCGGTGAGGCTGGGACGCCGGCTCCGGCGCCACAAGCTAGTGCTGTGGCCCCCGCTTCGTGACGCTGCAGCGACCACCACGGCCCTCCGCCGCTCCGTGGCCGCCGCAACCGCCGCCTCTGCCGCCGCAGCTGCCGAACTCGCCGCAGCCACGGCGGCAGCCCTCGCCCGCTCCACCTCGCATTCTGCGTCCGCAACCTCCGCCGGCCCTCGGCGAAGCGGAGAGATCCAGCAGTGGTTGACCTCGTAAGCAATTGTCTTTGTGCCAGACCACATCGGCGATGCTGCCTCCATGAATCGAACCCGGCGTATCCCAGGTTTTCCGGGCCTATTTCTGGAGTTTCGCATTTCAAAGAAAGGGAACCCGCGCCGATTCTCATCCCTTGGTCGACCTTGGCGCGGTGTATCGCCCACTTGCCGGCCCGGCCGGCGCGAACGGTCACGTGATGAATTTCAGGACATTGGTCAACCCGCTCCGGCATTCGGACCACAAGGTGCTCGGTGTCACCTACCTCGTTCTCGAAGCGCTCGACTTTTACGGCTTTATGTTTTGCGAGCGGCGCTACAGCGCCGACTTTTTGTGGTTCATGGCCATGAAAGTGTGTGGGTGCCTCGTGACAGCCTCGGCGCTGCGCAACTTTGGCCACCTAGCCAAATCCGACGTCAACAAGGGCATGTTCGCCGAGAGCCGGACGTTTTCGTGAGCGGCACCTCCTCGCTCCTCTCTCCCCGCCTCTCCACTCTGGCCTCTCCGCCGCGCTCCACATCGGAGCTCGGCCACAGCGCACGCACTTACTCTCCCGTTCGCCTTACCGCCAGCCTCGCCGCCCAGCCCCGCCGCTTTCCGCACCCTCCTTGAGGAGAGGAGAGGAGAGGAGAGGAGAGGAGAGGAGAGGAGAGGAGAAAAGAGAGGTGAGGAGAGGAGAGGAGAGGACCAAACCTCCTCAGCCTCCTGCCTCACCACGCTAATCTCGTCGTCAGCCGTGATCCCCTGCCGCCCGTGCTCACCGCAGGTACGGCTTCCTCGTCGAGAACTTTTGGTTCCAGGTCCGAGCAGCCTCGGGTAGAGAGGGAAGCCATAGAAACGGCCTCCAATGGGTGCTCTGGCTGGAGATCGTAGTCTTTGGGCGGCTCACCGTCCTCACATACTCCTGACACAGCGCCTTTCGACGACTCCCGCAACCCTTCCCCGCGGCCCTGCTCGCGCAGGTGGTCATCGCGCTGCAGCACGGCGCCTTCCTGCCGTGCTTTGAGGGGTCGGCGGCGGAGCACCCGACCTCCTCGCGCGGCGCGGCGGCCAAGCTCGCCTACTTCTCCTTCGCCATGTTTTGGTTCATGTCGCGCGCGACCTTCCCAAAGACCTCGTACGCCGACTGGGAGGCGGGCAATGAGGCGGCCAACGGCCGCAAGCTCTCGGCCTGGCGGGTGGCGTGGATCAACCTGCAGGCGAGAGAGCGCCAGCCGCACCACGCCGCCGCCGCTGCCGGCGTCAGCTCCGCCGCCCGGTGGCGCGGATGTGGGCGGGCTGGGACGTGGGCGGTAGGATGTGGGGCGGCCCGCCGTGCGCGCTGTGCGACGAGCGCTCCTCCCGCCCCGCCCGTCCCTCGGCAGGTCAAGGTGGTGCGGCTCAACTATGTCTTCAAGTCGCAGGCGGCGGCGCACCCCGCCTCGCGCCTCGGCTGCATCTCGGCTCATCTCGGCGGATCTCGGGCCGGCAGGTGGCTGTGCCCTACTTTGTGTCGCTGCACATGCGAGGCCTGCTGCCGCCCGAGTGGCGCTTCGTCCCGCTCTTCGTCTCGCTCGACATCGCGCACAACGTGACCACCGCTTTCTTCCTGCAGGCGCCGCACCTCCCGCACCTCCCGCCCCTCCCGCCGCACACGCCGCACACGCCTCTCCCCTCCCGCCGCTCCCCGACGGGCTGCCGCCGCCTCCCCCCAGACGCTCAAGTTCCATGGCTTCATCTCGGCCACCACCTTCTCCTTCGCCTTCAACGCGACCGCCTATGCCGCCAACGCGGTCGTCGCCTATTACTTTCTGCACGCGAAGGTCGACCTCGTCGCCCTCCTGCCCAACCTCGCCCTCTCCGTGGTCAACCTCGCCTTCGTCTACCGCAAGCGCGGCGATCCGCGCTTCGTGCAGGTGCGAGTGCCTCCACCCTCCACCCTCCATCGTCCACCTCCCGCCTCCCGCCCCTCTGCCACCCACGGCCCCACACGCGCGCACCCCGACCCAACTCCTAGTTTGTCTGCTTCGTCCTCGGCTTTGCGCTCCAGCTGACGGCGCTGCCGCCGCACCACGCTGCGGCGGTGGTCGGCGCGCTCGGCCTCGCCGCGACCGTCCTCGGCCAGCACGCGCAGAGGATCACTCAGTGGGGCGCCCGCTTCACGCACGCGGCCGGCGACGTGTCACACATCGCTCTCATCGTCGGCGGCGGCTTCGTCGTCGCGGCGCTGCTGCACCCGCTCCTCTCGTGGCACATTGGCGAGAGCCGATCTCTCAGAGGGCTAGGGGTGGCCGTCGGTCCCTCTCCACGACCCCTCGGTGCCGCCGCAGGCCGGCTGATGCAGTACGAGCGCCGCGGCGCCGCCAGGCGCGAGCAGGACGCGGCGGCGAGGCGCAAGGAGGAGGGGCGGAGGAGCGCAGGCGGAGGGCGGCGAGCAGCGGGCAAGCGCCCATCCAGCACGACCAGCCACGCGCCTTCTCTGCGTCTGTAGGAGAGGGCGAGGCGGTGGCCAAGTCGCCGCGGGTCGTGGTCCTCACCTCCGCCGGCAAGGGCCTCAAGGCCAAGGCGGAGGGCAAGGACCCGCGCGAGGACGAGGACGCGCTCTCGGAGGCTGCGACAGCGTCGGGCCTCTCCAGGACGCCCTCCATGGGGGACGTGCTCCTCGCCAACCAGCAGCAGGCCGTCCTCCCCGACACCCTCCGGTGAGAGGGGCGTGAGAGGCGCACCCGCCCGCCACACAAGAGGCGTTAGTGTAGTAAGCTCGGACCCACGCAAGGGGCGAGCGAGCGGTGCGAGAGAGAGAGGGAGAGAGAGAGAGAGAGAGAGTCGAGTAGCCTCTTGCCGGGCGCGCGTCGCGAGCGTCGACACGGTCGTGCGAGCAGGAATCCGGTGTGCGGCGAGAGGCGCACACCCGAGGCGCAACGAGTCGAGCCAGCGATTGGAGCGCATGCTGTGATCGACCTCGCGCGTCTCGCTCTCGCGGTCTCGGACGTCGGAGAGAGCGTGTACGTGGGCCCCGGTGCGCGCGCCGTGGGCGCACACACGTCTCGTCGCACGTCGGTGGAGTCGACGTCCACTTATGTTAGGATGAGCGGAGATTGCATTGCTTTATATATAGAGAGAGACTAGATGGTTGTGAGTTAGAAATGGTTCAAAACACATCAATCATCATCAAGTTTGGGCGGACGACACACACACATGACGCGCAAAAAAAACACAATCACAGACCACGCGGAGAGAGAGGATCGAGAGCGATAGCGCGAGGACCCTCGTGTCGCCCGTGCAGCCCTCCCAACCATGTCCATGCAGAGCTAGACGTTCCCTCCACACCACATACACACCTGACGCCACATCAGCCGCTAGCATCAGCCACGCGCACAAGTCCTCAAAACACGCAAAACCCGGCCAAGTAGGCACGCCGCCTCACGAGACCGCGCCACCGCCACACTCGCAGAGCTGCTGGTGCTCAACCATCTTTGGCGGCAGCTTCCACGTCGGCAGGCTCGGCTCGGATGACACCTTTGATGGCGGCAGCGAGCACACAGGCGGCCCGGCGAGGCCGGCGGCGGGGGATGCCGCCGGGAGGGAGAGGAGCGGAGACTCGGAGAGGGCGATGAGCGCGCAAGGGACGCCGGACCGCAGCGTTGTTGGGCGGCCCTTCTTCTGCCACTGCGCCGGCGTCCAGCACCTGATGGGAGGGCGGCTCTGTGTGGAAGGCGGAGGAGTGTTGTGAGTGTCAGAGATCGGTGTGTTGTGTGGAGTCGCCACCGCATCTGAATCGAGTGAATTTTGCCACTTCGCAGGTCTGGGCCGAGGATGTCATTGACCGCCTGCTTCGGGGGGTGAGGATGGCCGGGAGGGGAGAGGGGCCGGAGGGTCCAGCGGCCGAGCGCTGCTCTCCAGAGGTGACACAGAGAAAGGCAGGACGGAGCCTGCTGCCGCTGCAGCGCTGCTAGGTCCTCAAAGGCGGAACTGACGAGGAGCAGGAGAATCTCCAAGCCCTCCGCGTCGAGCGCCTAGCGTGGCAAGGGCAGGTAAGGGGTAGAGACAAGGAGTAATTGGTTGTTCGCGTTTTCTTCACCCTTCCGTCGGCGAAGCCTTGCCGTGTATGCCCGTCGCTCACGTCCTGCAGGCACATGCACTCGGGGGAGAACTTCGCACTGAGCGCAGCCGCGTACCTGTCCATTTCGGCGACGATTTCCAGTTTTTCTACAACCATCAACGAGAAAAAGAAGAAACCGGGTCGCTACGGCTCATCTCGACACAAGAGCTGGGACAGCGGCTGGGGTTGGACTCCATCGAGTTCTACATCGCTCGCCGGCAGCTCCGGTGACCGGTGGCTTGGACACGTCAGCCGCATGCCTTACGAGACGAGGCTCCCTCGCCGCTTGCTCTCAGCGTGGGTGCCCCATCGCCGCCCGATAGGCTCGCCGTTCATGACGTACGGCCGCTCCATCTTCAAGCATCAAGGCGCTCGAGATGTTCCGCATCGACAAGACGCGCTGGCCCGAGCTCGCCGCGAACCGCAGCGCATGGCGCGAGACCTTGCGGACGGGCGTTGCCCCGCCAGCCTTTCGGCCGCCGGCTCCACCGCCGCAGGCCAAGCCCCTGTCGCGCACAAAGCAAAGCTCCCCCGGAGCAGCGCGCAGCAGACCCAAGCCAAGATGAATGAGTCGCTCCGCCGGGAGCGTCTCGCATGACAACATGCACATACATACATTCATTCATGACTCTCAGTCAGCGCTTTGATCCCAATCCCGACACTTGTGTGACTCGCCTAGTGTGGAGACGCCGTGTACCGTGGGGCCTTCCTTGTTGTCCTAGCACGGGAGTACCCGTGTGGACCGGAGGTAACAGCAGCAGGGGTCACGTACCATGCGGAATCGACCCTATCCAGTGCTCAAGTGCTCAGAAAGAAAGAAAGAAAGAAAACAGTCAACCCAAGGGAGTGCTCAAGTGCAGCAGCAGATCGTTACGGCTCATTCGTAATCGGTCGGCGAAGTGTGCCCCTCCTTCGCATCGCTTCCCATCCCACAAGCCTTCCAAAACAATGGTGAGCCTCTTCTCTACCTCGCTCGCGTTCACGATGCACAACCACGCGCGGCTGAGCAGCCCCGCATCGGCACGCGCTCCCGTCGTGTCGATGAATAGCCTCGAGTACAAATTCGTCTACGAGCAGGCTGGCTCCAACGCCAAGCCGGCGGGCTATGGAAAGGGCGACATGAAATTTGACAGGCAGACCCCTGCTCCTGCCTATCCGAAGCGGTCGTGGGCGAGCACGCTCGTGTACGAGTCGGCGGGTGCCAACGCCAAGCCGCTCGGTGCGTGACATACTCGATGGACAGAACTGACATGCACACCGAGACTGCAGCGCGACACCCGGCACCACCAATCTCCGTGATCATTTGCGCGGTGGCCAGACGGCTCACACCTGAGAGGGAAAACGCATCTCCCTCCTTCCCCTAGGCGACGGCAAGGGCAACTCGCCAGACGCGCCCGCCAAGCCGGCGATGCCCGCGCAGGTCGCCTACCCGGCGCTGGAGCAGGAGTTTGTTTATAACTCGGCCGCCGCGCGCGCGACGCCGTTCGGCGACGGGAAGGGCAACGGCCCCGCGACGGCGCTGGTCGGGCAGGTCGTGCCAACCTCGCTCGGCAAGGCCAACTCGCTCGAGTATGACTTCGTCTATGAGCAGGCAGCCGCCGCCGCCGCACCGCTCGGCGACGGAAAGGCGAACTAGAGGCCGAGCTGGCCCCCACTCGCCCGCATGGCCGCCCGCTGCACGCACTTCCGGCCCGCCGCAGCCTCGCCCCGGCTGGGCGGCGAGAGGAGGACAGGCCGGAGCCGGTGCGAGGAGCAGGCGGCAGGAGGGAGGCTCTGCTCCTGGCCCGGCTTCTCTTCGGCGAACGCGGAGCGCGGCATAAGCCGCCTCCCCCCAGCGCTGCTCTGTACATGTAGCCATGCTTCGCTTTGATGACTGTGTTTCTGCTCCGATGGGTCTGAGAGCGCTACGTTGTGTGGCCCGCCTGTGTGTTTTTGGGCGGTTGTCGTTGATGGGGATCTGTTTGATCACACTGTCACTGAGCCGATGCGTCGAGAGTTCCACGGACACTCAGGTTTTGTGTTGTGACGCACACATGAACTAATAGTAAAACGTATGTCATGCTGAGGATGGTGCCATGCTCGCATGCTCCATGGACATTCGCACAAAGTAGATCCTGCTCGTGCTCTCGTGGCGGCTTTGGGCGCTGGCCGCTGCGCCCTGCGGCCATGCCTGCGGGGCTGGCAGGGTAGGCTCCGCCCCACTGTGATTCGGACTGAGCGACGGCAGGACCCTTTGAAATCATGAATGGCGGCGTCCGGTGAGGCCCCCACGGCCGGGGGTGGTAGGTGGGTGATAGGAGGGCCATAAACGACCATCACACCGGCCACCGGACCCCTCCACCCCCCCAAACACAGTCCAAACCGGCCCCGGCGGCCGGCGGGACGCACGCCGGCGCAGCACCATCAAGCTGCTGTACGGCCCCGGCATCGCCTCCCCAGAATTAGCTCTCAGTCAAGATATTGTGCACATGGGTGGCCTCTACAATATACTCACTGACAATGAACCTCCCAGAGCTCGTCCCGGTCCGTCACGGCCATCCTCGTCCTCCGCGGCGCCGGCTCCGGCCCCTCCGCCGCACTGTGATGAGCGTCGGCAGGACCCTTTGAAATCATAAATGGCGGCGTCTGGAGAGGCCCCCACGGCCGGGGGCGGTAAGTGGGTGATAGGAGGGTGATAAACGACCATCACACCGGCCACCGGACCACTCCACCCCCCCAAACACAGTCCAAACCGGCCCCGGCGGCCGCCGTGCAGGAGGCCGCCGGGGCGCACCAAACGGCCCTTCACGGCCGCCACACGGGCCACCACGGCCCGTCCCGGTGGCACGGGTGCCGCCGCGCACCCGCCCGAAGCCCCCGGCCCGCCAGCTTCCGCTCTGGGGAAGAAAATTTGGGCGCGAGCGCCGTATATCGCGTGCCATGGCCGACTTAGCCGGTGTAAGAGGCTCCCGCTGATCTTAGACCGCGTAAGCACTCCAGCGTGGCTAGCCACACTTAGACCCGTTAAGCCGCGAGGCTCAGAACTTAGACTACTACCCAACCAGTTCCGGCTTGCCGCCCTTCCCGACCCTCGTCCACCCCTCGGGCGACTCGTTGGGCTGGGGTTGCTGCGCCTGTTGGTGCTGCGAGTGTGCCTGCGATGCTGCGGCCGGAGCGGCAGCGGCGGCAGACGGTGCCACGGGCGGTGCGGCGAAAGTGGCGGTAGGCTGAGGCTGCGCAGCGTCCTGCGCGGCCTGCTGCCTGGCCTCATCCTCCCGCCTCTTCTCAGACTTGGCCTGGATGATGTACTGATACCCAAGCGGCACCGGGTTGATGCTGACGGAGTGCCAACCGTACCTCTCCATGCGCTCCGCGAGACAATCAATCATCGCGTGGTCGCGTGGCGACACCTTCTGGCCGAGGACGCGCTCGACCATCCGGATCTGACGCACGTGGAACGGCTCCAGGCCCGGCATGGAAGCCTCGGAGTCGGACATGGCCCCGTTTCGCCGTTTCGTTTTTTGCAACTTAGCTTTCAGCTCACTTTGACGACGCTAGGAAAATCAATTCGTGGAATCCAGTCCGAGATGCAGTGAGGCGGAGCCTACCCTGGGGCGCCGCACGCGTACATTCCTCCCCCTAGAGTCACACCACGCCGCACGCGGCGACGCGGACCGGGCGGCGCGTCGCTCCGCTCTGCGAGCCCTCCTTCTCGATCCTCTTCACCACGTCCATGCCTGAAGTAACCTGGGACGGGCGGCGGCGAGCCGGTGGCGGCGGCGGCGAGCCATCTGGCGGCGGGCCGGGCCGGTGGCGGCGGGCAACTAGTTTGGAGAGGCGGCCGCGCCTTTCCAAACACGCAGTGCTTGCCGTCGAGAAAGGAGGTGTCGGAGGTGCAGATGAAGAACTGGGAGCCGTTTGTGTTTGGGCCCGCGTTGGCCATCGAGAGGGTGCCTGGGGCACAAAAGGGCAGGGTGAGGTATCTAGGAGGCGCGGCGAATTCGAGGATGTGACAAGCTGCCGCCACCTGGGCCGCCGTGTCCGAGGTCGAAGTTCTCATCCTCAAACTTGGTCCCGTAGATGGACTTCCCGCCGGTCCCATTCTCGTTCGTAAAGTCGCCGCCCTGGCACATGAAGCCCGGGATCACGCGGTGGAACGGCGAGTCGGCGTAGCCAAAGCCCTTCTCGCCGGTGCAGAGCGCGCGGAAGTTCTCCGCCGTCTTGGGTACCTGGCGTCGGGTGGTGCCAAGAGATCGCGCGCGAGAGAACTTTGGTGGCGAGGGCGACGATGGCGGAGGAACACCGCTCCACCGAAGAGGCCCATCTCGATGCGGCCCGCGGGCTCGCCGCCGATGGACATGTCAAAGTAGACGGTGGTAGTCACGTCGGCGTCCTGCGAGGAAAGGCGCAGCGGCGCTGCTTGTGCGAGGAGAGGAGGAGGGCTGAAAGAGGTTGTGTGAGGACAGGAGGAGGGCCGAGAGAGGCGCACACCGTCGGTCGCTGCTTTGGCATCATATTCTTCAGAAAGTCAAACTGCATGATCGCCGCGCTCCGCGCACGCGACGCGCGCGCGCCAAGCTTCAGGCCGTTCGTGACTGCCGCGAGGCCGAGGAGGCAGACGAGGCTGGAGCGGCGCACTGAGGACATCGTGGATGACGTCGGAAATAAAGAATTAGCGCCGGCGAGGAGGGGAAAAGTGAAATCCAGTTGTGTGTGTCACGATGCATCCGAAGGGGACCCCAGCGCCGGCATCATCCGTAGAGGCACGAGTGTTCGAAGAGAGAGTGGGCCTGAGCAACAACATGACTTGGAGGCAAATGATCGGAGTGGGAGTCAGAAATGTGGTCCTTGCGCGAGGGGAGCTCGATAGACTCGAGGGGCCAGGATACGCCGCGAGGAGGACGGAGTTGCGCCGAAAGGCGAAAGAAACCGCGAGAACAAGGGACCGGCAGGCGGCGGCGTCACAGGACGACGTGCTCGCGCGTGACAAACCGGGGAACCCTCGTTTCCTAGTCACTCGGTCCCCCAACGGAAGAGGCCTCGCTCCTATTGGAACTGGCCAACATCAGATTTGCCTCGTGCGTCCCTTTTTGAGCCGGAAAGCTGTTTTCTTTTGGGTCCTGTGGGCACCCTATCTAGGTTCTAGGTTCTAGCGAGGCGAGTTTGAGGGCGCGTTTGGCTCTTGCGGTTGTCCTAGCGGTGGCAGCGGCCTGTTCCGCCTTGACCATTGCCAGTTCTTGAGCGGCCAACTCCACGCAACGCGTGTCGGGGACCTCCTCCCAGCGAGACTTGCTAGCACTGATGCGAAGAATACCGGCGATCTCTTTGGACTTGGTAGAACCTTGGGGTTCTCGCCAGGCGCGCCAGCTCTCTGACGGGTCTGCGCACCGTGCGTCTCGCAAAAGAAGCAAGCCCTTCGGCTGGCCGAGCACATCTTCGGTTTGCACGTTCCAAGAGCCGAGGCCGGTGTAAGCCAGCCATAGCGTGGGTCGCTCCGTGTGCTGCCACGCCGCCCTGCCGCACACCGTCCGCTGGCTGGACTTCTCGTACACACCCAGCGCGAGGGTTTGCTTGCATGCGCCTTCCAGCCTGAGGCCGGCCGGGGCCAATCGACGTGCCGATTCTCGCTCGTGACTCGCACGCTCCTTGGCAGCCCCAAACTCGCCCTCGTCGAGCGAAACACAATGCACGTCCGCCGGCACCCACCCCACTTCGCCGCCCAAGTCCTGCTCCCACTGTGCGGCACAGCTGCCAGCAGGCGACGACTTGTTCTCGCGAAGGCGCAAAATGCCACGCGACCTGCCCAGCTCGTCGTCTGAAAGAGAAAGTTGACAAAACCAGCCTTTCCCATACGGAGCTCGAGAGAGGGACAGGCGCGGCTCCTCAATGTGCCGCCAGCACGGCTGCCCGTTGACCTCGCGCTGCTCCAGGCGGCACAGACCCAGACAGAATTGCCATTCGATCGGTTGTTCGCCGAAGCGCTCGAGGCTTAGCGCCACTGGCGGCGGCTCTGCGTTGCGGCAGCGGCCAAACCTCTCTTCGAGCCAGCCGCCGTCCACGAGTCCAAAGGCGGCACATCCGCCAACAACGCTGCCCAGAACCGTAGCCGCAACACACGCAGTCCATTCCGGAGACGTCGGCTTTTGGCAATCGCCTTGCCGGCGGTGGTGAAGCAAGCGCACGGTTGGCGCTAGTGAGGCGAGGCCTCGGCAACGACGGAGGAGCAGCATGTACTCGGTTTCTTGAAGGGGAGGGTGCAGAGCGTCAGCGCGACGGCCACAATGAATTTCGACGACGGTGGTCTCGAGAGGCCCACTGCCACAGGCGCCATATCTGTGGTGGCAAAGCGACCACTAGTGAGGGGGGAACTGGCTGTCGCCGCGGGAACTAACTTGTCACGGCGGGCGATCCGGTTAACCCTGGTGGGTGGATTGTCCAAAATACGTCAGCCTCGCACGCCTAGAGCTAGGTCTGACACCCGACCGCCCCCCCCTCCCTAATATTAACCGGCGAGAGCACATTTTGGCCGGCTAATGTTAGGGAGGGGAGGGCGATTTTCGCGTAATTTTGTCCACCTACCAGGGTTAATCAGCTGGGCCGCCTCAATTGCCACGTTCTCGTAGCACGTAGGTGGTATATCAAGCGAAAAGTACGGCTTCTACAGCGCTGTCTTGAGCTAGGAATCTGCTTTCGCTATCGACGCCATGGCATGCCGAGAATGCTAGGCTTGCCGGCCGAAGTGTACTCGTCTATCGACTCGGTCATCGTGCCCAGTGGTATAGATCCCGGACAGCGCTTCGATGTGAGGTTACGCGCGGGCGGAAAGGTCATAACAAAGTCGCTATGGCGATCCTCGGGAACATGCCGGCCATCCAGGCTCGCGCTGTGGTCGAGGCGGTGGGGCCGCGAGCAGCGCATCGACCGAAAGCGGCTTCGCCTCGGGGACGCTTGGGGTCGCAGAGCGGGGCGGCAGACCGATTTGCAACGCGTGAAGTAACGGCAGTGACGTGGGAAGATGCACTGACACCGATGCCTTTCGAGCAAAGCGCAGGCGACGTTGGCTGGCTTCCAGGTCCAGCCGGCGGCAGTGCTCAGAATGGATGCGTTGAGCGTAGAGCGGCTGGGATCTGGATGCCAAAGGTACAGCAATTAATGCAGCGGAAGGAGATTACACCCTTTTCCAGAGCGTCCCGTTGACACGCTCGTAGTGCCGAACGTGTGCGAATTCTTTTTCTTTTGGGAGCCGGCGGCCCCGCTCGCCGTCTCGTGCAGCGTCTTCGACCTCGGCTGCCAGTGCACGCGCCGGAAGGGCGACGAGCACGCCGAGCGGCTCCTCCTCTTTGAGCGCATCTGTGGCGGCGCAGGCAGCGAAGCGCACAAACTCCGCCCGCCCCGCCGCGGCTGCGACGGGAGGCGCACTCACCGCCGCCGTAGGCATCGCCGCCGAGCTCGGCCCGAAGCTGGGCGACCTGCTGGCGGCCGCGCACCGCCGACTGCTGGCGTGCGACTGCGGCCGCCCGGGCGGTTGCCCGGGCTGCATCCAGATTGCGCGGTGTGGCGAATATAACGAGGGTCTGAGCCGGCAGGCTTGCGACATCGTCCTGCGCTGGTCGCTCGGCATGGAGTGGGAGAGCCACTTGCCGCCGTTGCCGGCGAAGCCGGACGCAAAGGGCGATGGCGAGACGCCAATGCTCAAGGGAGAGGCTATGGAAACAGAGACGGCGGAGCGATTGTGCCTTGTCTGTGGCGAGGGGTAGGAGCTATGTACTCCAGTGTGCGAAAAGAACACGTGCTATAGCAGAGGGATGAGATCTCCTCCCTGAGGCAGCGGTGAACCACACCGCTCGACACTAGACACCACTCTCGACACACCCCTCCCTCGACGACACGTCTTGCGTGAGATTTTTAGCAATGATTTCAATGATTTTTTTGTTAGTTCGTCTTGTCTCCCTGGAAGCTGGATGGACACCGGCTTGACACGTTGATTGACACACGGGTGGGGGCGTGGGGGGTGGGGGGCGCGGTTGGTGTAGCCGCTGTGATGTTGTCCGAGCTCTCTGTCTTGCCAGCAACATCATAACCTAAAGAAAATCATCCAACCATTGCAGGCAGGAGGACGCGTCCATGACAACGCCCCTTACTGTATCATCCTGGAAGGAGCCGCTGAAAATCGGCAGGACCTCTCACATCGCACATCCATCGTGAGCTGCCAGCCCAGGCCCTGCCACGCCACGCCGTCTGCCACTGACCGCCACTGCGCGCCCTCCACCCCCAACGCGCGCCTCGCCTCCCACTGTCCCTGCCACGCCGCGTCGTCTGCCATTGTCTGCCACCATGCGCCCTCCGTCACCATCGATCGCGCCTGCCTCACCGTGTCTCTCACTGTCTCCGCAGGATCTAACCATGCCGGTCTTCTCGAAGCTGATGCTGATCGCCGTCGGCGCTGGGGTCGCAAACGCTCTGCCCATCATCGTACCTGACGGGCAGGAGAACCGCGTGGTCGATCTCGACTCCTCGGCGGGCGTTGCTCTGCCTGCCTGCCCGAGCACGTGTAGCACCTGTCCCGACGCGCAGTTCGGAGAAGGGAAGTGCTGCTACAACATCCACAACGACATCTGCAGCGGTGACAACGAAGAGCAGTGCATCGGCCCTAACCTTGCCGTGTGCAGCATGGAGCACGGACCCGAACCTACGCCCTCACCCTCGCCCTCGCCCTCGCCTTCCCCATCGGTGAAGCTCTGCGAGGGCAAGACTGAGCCATTCAACCAGCTCACCTCTGCGTGGAAGCAGTTGGAGCAAGGCGAGGTGAACAACAACTGCAAGGCGCCAATTCCCGACCCATCGACATACCAACAGTGCTCCGGCGATCCCACCTCAATCGTGCTAGCAAAGTGGGATACACCAGCGTGCGAGGCGGTGAGGAGCTGCGATTTCCCGCTCAAGGAACTCGTTTCGATCGAGGCGGACATTGCGATCGAGAACTGCGATGAAACGTGGGTTGCCCCGCTGTGGATCACCCCGACCCCGCCAAATTGGTGCGACAACAGGGTGTCCCCCCCAAGTTGCAATCAAGGCGCGTCTGGCGAGATCGATTTCGTCGAAACGTGCATGAACACCGGCAAAAGCACTGTGGCGACTAGCCTCGGAGGAAACACCTGTGGCCACAACAAGCACGGCGACTCGATTTGCTTTGAACAGCAGTACCCGGCGACGGGCATGCAGCTCCACTACACGCTCACTGTCGATCAAACTCCCGGCAGCAGCGGCAAGGCCACGATGGGAGTGTGCGATCAGACATCGAAGGGCACGTGTGAGAAGTACGTGTCCTCCACAACGTACAGCGATTGGTACAAGACAGTCGGATGTGTGCAGGGTGAGTGCAAATTCCAGCTCCGGAGCGACATCTGGGCAGCTTACGATGGGCAATACGGCAAAGGGGGTTGTCCGTCAAAGTCGTCGACGCAGTCATGCACCGTCTCAGCAAGGAACATCAAGGTCACGCTCAACAAGGAGCC